TTGTACTATCGGTTTCTACTGGATATGGAAAGGGTTTTGTCGCTATATTTGTATGTGGCGAGGTCCCACGAGCGTCTATAGCATCAAGCGTTTTCATGAATGTATACAATGCAATCTGCTTACAACCTTTTATTTCCGAATGGAAACATGCAATCAAAATCAACACAATGTTCAGAAATGTCCATTTACGTTCGAGATAAGGAAACTTCACGATGGACAAACGCAACTTAATCCGTATAACTATAACATGTGATAGGTCAGAAAATGTAAAATTGTATAACACCCCAAACAAATGCCGTTCTTACGTTGGGTTAATACTGATAATTATTGAGTTTGAAACAGCGGTAATATAGTATCTGGTTAAGCTCAGTCATACAAAAGATCGTTGCTTCAGGTTCTCAATGGATTGGTGCAATTTGTCAAGCCGGGTCCAGGTGCTACTGTGGTGACATAACAGTTATTTCGATGACTAACCAATATAAAATATCAAGTGTCAAACTTACTAGATTTGGCTTTGGAGATTTCAGTGTTGCTACCTCAAAAGCCGTGCAGCCAAAACTCCAGATGTCTGCCTGAAACAAATACCGAGATAAGATATATGTCTGACGTCAGAGACAATTGGAGTAACCGGCGGAGCACAACCAGTTTTAAAAGCCCTATAAAAAAATTATGAATCTGGTCGTCATATACAAAGACTCCACATAAAGAGCACCATGCTGCCATGCTAGATGCCTTGATTATGTTGAGAATGGACTAATTAGACTACAAGCTAAAAGCAATTTTAAATGCCATCCTTGCATTTGAGGTCCAACAGTATTTCAATGCTGATTTTAAGATACTAGTATGTCGATCAAGAAACAACTGGGTGCCAAGTTGGCACCCTTGAGCATTTTGATTAAAATGTGCTTTAAAATATACCCTTGGAATCTCAAGCACCTGCAGAGGACCGTGTGGAGGCAAAATAAGTTGTTCGGTAAGTAGCACAAAATGGAATACTTTCACCTATCATCTCAACTAGCCTCCGACATCTAAAACTTTCTAAGACTTATGTCAACTGACAATATCCATTCTATCAAATGTTTGATCAAATTCTTTGTCAAGTAGTAAAGATTAGAAGCAAATCACATATCTCTGTAACATAAAGTGTACTGCACTCCAGACGTTTATTCAGCGAGCACATTTAATTATTTTTTCCATTCTGTTTGTATTATGGGTCTTGGGCCTGAAGTACAGAAATAATTCTGTCTGTCTGGTAATGTCTAATGTTATTAAAACTCGATGGTGGGTAGAGAGGCGGTTAAAGCGTTCGTTCGTCTGTCGAAGGCACAGATTCGTTTCTGTACACGTGTGCAACGTGTGAAGCCAAATTCCCGTGATATTGATGGAATATTGATAAAATTAATACCCCCTAATGCCGATTTAATAGTGCTGGCCAATTGAGATACCGTGCCGCAGTTTAACATGAATACCCAACTCAGACACAGTATACTAATTCGAGCCGGTCAATCATTGTCTTAGCCCATTAATGTCTAGTGCCTTGCAGGGTAACAAGTACCGTCTTTTAACGTCTTTAGGTATGAAGCGTCCGCCGATCGAACACCCGACATTCTGCTCTCCGGACGGACTAGACCACGGAGGCGGTCCTAAATTATAATGAATATGCAACATTGTCCATAAAACTGAAAGAATTCTGACATACCTTTTTGTCATACGCTTTACCTTGAAGCAGCTCCGGACTCATGAAGTTGGCTGTTCCAACCATTGACTTTGCTACATCGTCGGAATGTTTCAGACCTCTGTTAGAGAAAGGGGAAATGAACCCATTAAATCATGACACATGTATATATAAACATAATTAGTATTATACTGTACATATAAGCCACTTGAGTCCAACTATTCCACACCAAATTGGGTAAAGAGGCGATAGTCCCGAGAAATACACTTTATAAGGTCATTTGATCAGTTTTTTTAATCAATTTCGAACCAGATTTCCCTAGTGCCATACAGACATGTGAGGTCTTTACTGGAAATAGGAACCAGATTATCAAGCCGAGTACCTCTTGTGGAATACTTTGGTGAGTTGGATTAGTTGCCGCTTTCAACAGTATTTGAGTTATATCATGACGCGTTAATGTTATGTGGGAGGGAAGCCCGGAGTGATGCAAGTCCTAGACATTTACCACCTGGATCAAACCCACAAGGAAGTGTGCCAAACCTAGGAACATATCGAAAACCGGGATTCAAACCCACGACCATAGGTTTCTGGGCGTCCAATATACGCAAAGCTGCATAGCGAATTGGCGACCCTTCTGCTCTGTACACCTTCGTACACTCCAAGCAAGGCCTTACTAAGTACTGGGTTTGTCGGCAATAGAAACATGATTCACAGACTGCTGTTTGCTTGTCCTCGATACAGGGTGACCTGAAGCATGTTTCATGGTAATGGTGTACGGTAGGATGATCAGGAGTCTGTGACACGGCTTACTTTGACAGTCCAAAACCTCCAATCTTCAGAACCACTTGTTCCTTGTTGCACCAAACAAGGATTTTGGACGTCTTCAGGTTCCTGTGGAGAACATTTTGGCTGTGTATATGCTGGAACAGAAGACATTTGTGTGTATGCTGGAACAGAAGACATTTGTGTGTATGCTGGAACAGGCGTTTGTGTATATGCTGGAACAGAAGGCGTAAGTGTGTATACTGGAACAGAAGACGTTTGTGTGTATGCTGGAACAGAAGACGTTTGTGTGTATGCTGGAACAGAAGACGTTTTTGTATATGCAGGAATAGAAGACTTTTGTGTGTATGCTGGAACAGAAGACGTGTGTTTGTATGCTGGCGTTTGTGTGTATGCTGGAACAGAAGACGTTTGTGTGTATGCTGTAACAGAAGACGTTTGTGTGTATGCTGGAACAGAAGACGTTTTTGTATATGCAGAAATAGAAGACTTTTGTGTGTATGCTGGAACAGAAGACGTGTGTTTGTATGCTGGCGTTTGTGTGTATGCTGGAACAGAAGGCGTTTGTGTGTATGCTGGAGCAGAAGACGTCTGTGTGTATGCTGGCACAGAAGACGTTTGTGTGCATGCTGGAACAGAAGACGTATATGTGTATGCTGTAACAGAAGGTGTTTGTGTGTATGCTGTAACAGAAGACGTTTGTGTGTATGCTGTAACAGAAGACGTCTGTGTGTATGCTGGAACAGAAGACGTGTGTGTGCATGCTGGAACAGAAGACGTCTGTGTGTATGCTGGAACAGAAGTCGTCTGTGTGTATGCTGTAACAGAAGACGTCTGTGTGTATGCTGGAACAGAAGACGTGTGTGTGCATGCTGTAACAGAAGACGTCTGTGTGTATGCTGTAACAGAAGACGTTTGTGTGTATGCTGTAACAGAAGACGTCTGTGTGTATGCTGGAACAGAAGACGTGTGTGTGCATGCTGGAACAGAAGACGTCTGTGTGTATGCTGGAACAGAAGTCGTCTGTGTGTATGCTGTAACAGAAGACGTCTGTGTGTATGCTGGAACAGAAGACGTGTGTGTGCATGCTGGAACAGAAGACGTCTGTGTGTATGCTGGAACAGAAGTCGTCTGTGTGTATGCTGGAACAGAAGGCGTTTGTGTGTATGCTGGAACAGAAGACGTTTGTGTGTATGCTGGAACAGAAGGCGTTTGTGTGTATGCTGGAACAGAAGACGTTTTTGTACATGCAGGAAGAGAGGACGTCTGTGTGTATGCTGGAACAGAAGACGTGTGTGTGTATGCTGGCGTTTGTGTGTATGCTGGAACAGAAGACGTTTGTGTGTATGCTGGAACAGAAGGCGTTTGTGTGTATGCTGGAACAGAAGACGTCTGTGTGTATGCTGGAAAAGAAGACGTGTGTGTGTATGCTGGCGTTTGTGTGTATGCTGGAACAGAAGACGTTTGTGTGTATACTGGAACAGAAGACGTTTGTGTGTATGCTGTAACAGAAGACGTCTGTGTGTATGCTGGAACAGAAGACGTGTGTGTGCATGCTGGAACAGAAGACGTCTGTGTGTATGCTGGAACAGAAGTCGTCTGTGTGTATGCTGTAACAGAAGACGTCTGTGTGTATGCTGGAACAGAAGACGTGTGTGTGCATGCTGGAACAGAAGACGTCTGTGTGTATGCTGGAACAGAAGTCGTCTGTGTGTATGCTGGAACAGAAGGCGTTTGTGTGTATGCTGGAACAGAAGACGTTTGTGTGTATGCTGGAACAGAAGGCGTTTGTGTGTATGCTGGAACAGAAGACGTTTTTGTACATGCAGGAAGAGAGGACGTCTGTGTGTATGCTGGAAAAGAAGACGTTTGTGTGTATGCTGGCGTTTGTGTGTATGCTGGAACAGAAGGCGTTTGTGTGTATGCTGGAAAAGAAGACGTTTGTGTGTATGCTGGAGCAGAAGACGTCTGTGTGTATGCTGGCACAGAAGACGTTTGTGTGCATGCTGGAACAGAAGGCGTATATGTGTATGCTGTAACAGAAGGTGTTTGTGTGTATGCTGTAACAGAAGACGTCTGTGTGTATGCTGGAACAGAAGACGTATGTGTGCATGCTGGAGGAACAGAAGACGTTTGTGTGTATGCTGTAACAGAAGGCGTTTGTGTGTATGCTGGAACAGAAGGCGTTTGTGTGTATGCTGGAACAGAAGACGTGTGTGTATGCTGGCGTTTGTGTGTATGCTGGAACAGAAGGCGTTTGTGTGTATGCTGGAACAGAAGACGTGTGTGTGTATGCTGGCGTTTGTGTGTATGCTGGAACAGAAGGCGTTTGTGTGTATCCTGGAACAAAAGACGTGTGTGTGTATGCTGGCGTTTGTGTGTATGCTGGAACAGAAGGCGTTTGTGTGTATGCTGGCGTTTGTGTGTATGCTGGAACAGAAGACGTGTGTGTGTATGCTGGCGTTTGTGTGTATGCTGGAACAGAAGGCGTTTGTGTGTATGCTGGAACAGAAGACGTTTGTGTGTATGCTGGAACAGAAGACGTTTTCTGTAATGAACGCAACCTGGTTACCAGTCCGACCAAGTACCAGTCACAGCAACATTGTTTCAAATCACTCAAACCGTCATGGTTAACCTAGTAAATATAATGTATGCCACTCGTGCAGTTGAAGAAATGCTTTATTACAAACCAATGTATGTCTCGGTTTCAAACACATCTTCAATGTCTAGATTACAATGGAAACAATCACATACACATACACATACACATACACAGACACAGACACATACACATACACAAACGCTTTGGAATCTTCAACTTAATTGAGGAGGTAAAGATTTTGACCTTTTAATAAAGAATTCTCACTCATGTGTGATCTCATTCAATTAATGCGAACAGTATATTGAAAGTGTGACATTTTAATTTCATGAATGCTTACATCGTTCATTCAACTCATTTTCGATCGACTGACCTCTAAACCGGAAGCTATCTGCGCTAGCCAACACCCAAACAGTTTCTCTTCCGGCGGATGTTTGAGGGTGTTGTCCAGATAGTACCGGAGGTCACGACCCTGACAGTATTCCATTATCAGGTACATTCGCCGCGCCCCCTGTCGGTCTCTCTCCTCCCAGCAGTCAAGGTACTGAAGGATGTGCATGTGTGCAAACCGTGACAGTCCGACAGCTTCTGTCAAAACGCATTGGTCGTCCTTATCCGAGACGTTGGACAGTGCCGACACCTTCACGGCATACTAGCATGACGAAAATGGACTTTATTAATTATTCTGTGACATGAAGTTGAAAATTATTTGATATACAGATGGAATATAGAAATGATTTGAGGATCATGAATTGCATGTGACACCCATGGGAGTTTCGAGTCGGAATGGGTCGCCATCACCAATTCATGTCGTAAGTCCCATTTAAACTGGGTGGGTGAGTTGGGTTTAACGCCTCTTTGAACAGTATTCCAGTTATACCACAGCTTGTCAACTTAATGTAGAAGAAAAACCCGAAGTGATGCAGGTCTTAGACGTTTACCACTAAACCAACGAGCACAGATATGGTGTAGACAAACCTAGAAAAATGATTGGAGCGAACCCACTACCATAGGCTTCGGGCGTGACCAAGAGGTGCAACTCTTAACAGCGAATTGTCGCTCCTTAGCCGACTGGGCCACCCGTGTATATAGTGCTGACAAACCTAGAAATAAGATCGGTGGGAACCGGGATTCAAACCACGGTCATTGGTTTCTGGCGTGCCCAAGGGACGCAACTCCCCTACTAAAATAGGTTCGGCTATGACATGGATCTTAGCTAATACTTTCAGTCACTTGTTTGCCTGTACAGATCTGATAACGTACATGTTGTGGTTACATGGATGGAATTTTGCTTACTTTGGCAAACCGATGGTAGACAGCATGAACATGAACGCCGTGTGGATACAATGACACACAATCAGCCAGGTCACACATTGCATTAATCCGATCTTCACCAAGAGGCCCGTACGACAAACCAATTCTTACCTAAATTTAGAATGAAATACGGGTTCCCTTGTGACCAGGAATTGAATTGGAAAAAAAACGATAAACCGGTCCGGAAAAAAACCCCGGGAAACAGAAGTCCATATCAAGCTGTATGTCTATTCTGTATGCCACACTGTATGTCAATATCAAACTGTATGTCTATTCTGTATGTCGTATGTACATGTCAAGCTGCATGTCTAGTATATCATAGTGATAAGGAAATCTTTGAGTAAATGATGAACTTTATTCACTTGAAGGTTAATTGTCAGCGCAATTTGCTATATTGCAAATTAGAGTACCTCAAAAAGCTTAAATTACATGTCGAAAATATTACCTGTGTTTTGTCAGGCCCTATTGCTTCGTACACATTACCGAAGCTCCCAGTTCCCAGTAGGTGCGAATCATCACGGACGTACTTTAACACCGTAGTCCTCAGGATTTGACGCTGTCCGTTAACGGCCATATCGACCCTGCAGAGAGGTAGACTGTTTACAGCGTTGCATTGTATCATTCAAGACACGCTACAGAGATCCTATAATTCAATATGACGACCAGTCAATTGACGAAATGTTGTGTCACATACTATCATGATAATCATACAGGGTAAATACAGTCAATAAGAATAGTAACATAAAAGGGTAAACAGACACATACAACAAAATAGATGCGTAAACAAAGCATAAAATGTTTAAAGAAATCAAATTTATGGGCATCACGTCTGTATCAGTGTTCATTTATACAAATAACTTAAATGTGAACGAATAGTCTTAGAAAATGGACATAATCTGTCTTTTTTTAAATATAGTCCATTCGAACATACCTACCGGGTCGTATGAATCAGAAAACAACTCCAAACCGCCCCTTAACTGGTTGTAGAGCACTGTGTTTAATCCATGCGTTAAAGTGTTGACGCTACTGAATATCGTCTCTCTTTCAACACACCCCGTGGGGTGTCAGTCATGAATATGATTTGATCAACTGCGCATATCTGTCAGCGGTTACCAGTCCTTTGGAATAATAAACATTTTTCCCAGAAATACTCCACAAAAGCGTGCGTACACAGTAAGAAGGAAGTTTACAGTGTCTAAAAATACATTACGCAGTACCCACCCCCGACCCCCTCAATTCAGCGACCATCAATAAAACAGTGGCACGATGCCAACGTCATTCTTTATTCTTGCTTTCAACACGTATCACGTATCACGTTCGACGTCTCGGGAGTAGATAAGGCTTTTTATTACCCGTGTAGCACTGCGTCAATAAGTACTTATGCTTGTCGTAAGAGGCGGCTAACGGGATCGGGTGGTCAGGCTCGCTGACTTGGTTGATGGATGTCATTGTATCCCATTTGCGTAGATCGATGCTTATGATGTCAATCACATGATTCTCTGGTCCAGACTCGACCGTCACACAGCTGGAATATTGCTGAATGCGGCGTTAAACAACAAACAAACAGGTACCATAAGGGGGTATGAAACACGCGTGTCATGGAATTTGATTGGCTGAAGTAGTAACTTCGACCTTTCTGGACAATATATATATATATGCCAGTTATCTATGAAATTGTATCAATATAAAATTAAAAATTAAAAATTAAAAAACATAAATGTAATTTGGGTCAAAGTACATATTAGGCCTGGGAAACTCATACTGAATTCAGTGACACTTATTATATGTTCCCTGACATCATGCGACCTGTGAAGACCCAGGTTGGCGACTAACGGGATCGGGTGGTCAGGCTCGCTGACTTGGTTGATGCATGTCATTGTATTCCGACTGCGTAGATCGATGCTCACGATGTCAGTCACTGGATTGTTTGGTCCAGACTCGACTACTTACAGACCGTCGTCAAGTAGCTGAAATATTGTTTAGTGCATTGAATGATTGTAACGGCGCTTTGAAAAGTTTGACAGTTTTTCACCCACCATGGTGAAATGTGCCTGGAAAGTCAAGACTCATTATCGAGACGAATCTTGGTCTGAAACACGACGAGGTTTCTTTAAACATATAAAAGAAAGGAGCCCCGAGAATATCTTAATTTTAAGCTTGAAGCTTTTATTAAAATAGACTTGCTTGTTTTATCGATATTTTGTTTCAGGATCTTACATATTAGGCTACCCGTTCCCCAAATCTGTTATGGAAAACGTTTTTACTTTCGCAACAGTTAATTTTATACTGAGTATACTATAACCATTTGAAGAGCTACGCATCTTGCGAGATTATTATACTAAAGAAAAGTCGTTCTACATTAGCCACCTGTTTCTGAGTGAGCGAGTGAGCGAATCGTTTTATTTGTTTGTGTAACAGACTGGCACACCAAGCCCCCCGTGACGTCCGGGTGATAATCGGTCCTCAGCAACCCATGCAGACCCGGGTTCGATTCCCGACATGGGTACAATGTGTGAAGCCCATTTCTGGTGTCCCCCGCCGTGATATTGCTGGAATATTGCTAAAAGCGGCGTAAAACCATACTCACTCACTCACTCAGCAACCCATGCTTGTAAGAAGCTACTGACAGGATCGAGAACTTGGTTGATGCATGTCATCGTATCCTATTTACGTAGAGCGATGTTCATGATATCAATCACTAGAAGGTCTGGTACAGACTCTATTGTATAAAGGGGGCGTCATATAGATGAAAACTGTTGAGTGTAGCGTTAAACAACAAACGAACAAACAAAAGCGATGACAAAGCACACCAAAGACCATGATCAGAGCGGAATTTGGGCCCAATCTTACAGGGAATTGAGGTGTCTTAGATGGCTAATTGATATTTTATGTCAGCTTCACATACTTCTACACACCGCACATTGCAGCGAGCATGAGAAAGAGAAATACCGACAGTATTTTATTTGTTGAAGGACCCGTGAAGATCCGCATTACAACTGGTCTTCAGCAACCAATGCTTGTCGTAAGAGGCCATTAACGGGAACGGGTGACCAGGCTCTTTGACTTGTTGATTCATGTCATCGTATCTAAATTGCGTAGACTCGATGTCTTACAGACCGCCGTCATATAGATGGAATATTGCTGAGTGCGGCGTTAAGCAACACAAACAAAAAGCAAATCACTTGTTGAAAATACGCTGGTTTCCAAGATTTTCTCTCCATTTAAGTATTAAACATGATTTTATAACTCTTACCCCCGCGGCGATTCCAGGAAAGAACTGGTATCCAAAGTTGTCTTATCGGCCATCTTACATAGACAAGACTGGGGTGGTCATAGTATGTGGCTTGTCTGGTTGTGAATATGTTTTATTGTTGCCAGGTGTACATATGACGTGTACAAATGTAGTCATATGTTTCTATATATTTTTTACTGTGTCTATGTGTGTCTCGTAAGTCAATTTATGGCTGGATGTCAGTGTTTTTAAAAACAATTGTACCTTAATCAATGTAGAACTTATTGTAACTGATTTGTGTCACCTTAATTAACCATTTCTGCACATGTTTTCAGTTTCAGGCTGAAAATGAAAACTTTCTTTGGTATCCTTTTTGTAACGCAGTACTAAAAAATGACATTCATTTCGCCTGAATTCTCTGGTCTCTTTAGATGTAGCTATTCTAGGGACTAAATGTTGGACTTAGGGTGGTCCATTCGCCTACCTGACTTCCTTTAACTGCCAGTCAACATAACGACGAGGCTGTAGTGATAAGAAAAAATCCAAACTAGACCTTTTGGGCACGGTGACTGAAATACATACTTGCTAAGAGATTTCTCGGTTTGTTTCGGGGTCTGTGTGACAGACTAAACCTCCCTTTCTCCACTATGTCATGACAAACGTACATAATTACACACACATAAAAATAAGTTTTTTTTCTGGTGACTGTATTAGCAAATTATTCCGACTCCATTTTGAGTCGGACTGAGGTCGTTAAGCCGAAAAGTCACTGCTATATTCACTGAAACTCAAATACGAAACAGCTTGGTTGAAAGCCTTGCCAAGAATGTGATATTCCTTGATACAGAAACCACCGTGTCACACTATAATCAATCACCACCCAGGATATAGATCATATACTGTGTGTACACATACGTAACTGATGTACTCTCCTTTAATGAATCACGCTTAACACGTGAATTACATCTGGTGCCTTCCACGTGACAATAAGCGTAGGTTTAAATGAGAAATGTCACGCTCTTCTTGTTCATACCCCTTTTACACTTGATATATATATATATATATATATATATATATATATATATATATATATATATATACGTTATTAATATTTCAAATGCATTGGCGTTTTTGTACTAAGTCAATTGTATTTCAGGTAAAATGCCATATAAAGAGAACGGTGAGTTGGAACTTAAACATATTGCTCGTAAATAGAAATTTTGATCAGTTAACATGACGTAATAGTACAAGATTCACGACAACAATTGCCCAAAGTAACATTAATTTCAAACGGTTTACTTACCTTATGATTTCAAGACAATTGTTTTCTCCTGAAGGAGAAGTCTGAGAACTGTTTTTTACTACAAACTTTTTTCAGGACAACCACTATGCAAAGCGGACAATAAGTGCTTTGTTGTAAAACCTGAGACAAAATCAAATGCATCAGGGGCATAGACAGTAGATATAAAACGTCAATGTAAGACAACCAGAGAACAGATTCCATTTGGCGTAAAGGTCAAAATAGCTGTCAAAATTGTGAATCGACCACTGAAAATCAGTGATGACACCGTGTGTTCGCGAAAAGGATAAACATGTCCTATCCTACCGGTAGCGACCGTATGGCAAGCCGTTTTCACATTTATTACGGAATTACAGATATCTTCAATTGTTTTAAAAATATCTTGAATTGAATTGAAGATATCTTGAATCGAATTGAAGATATCTTGAATGTAATTGAAGATATCTTAAATGCAGATAATTGTAGATATCTGCAATAAAATTTAAGATATCACCAAATGAATTAAGGATATGGTGAAGCGTATTACTGATATCTTGAAAAGAATTGCTGATATCTTAAATTCGATTATTGATATCAAAATATGATTTAAAGATATCAAAATGTCGATGTCAATTCAATTCCTGAAACTAAATACAGATATCAATAATTAATTATTGATATCTTCAATTGTTGCCATTGTTAAAGATGTGACATTAATAATGTTACGTAGATTAGATAACTGATATCAATAATTGATATAAAGATATCATCAAAATTATTAATTGAATCTTTAATTGGAATTTTTATATCAGTAACGGTCAGAATTAATGATATCTTGAATTGAATTAAAAATATCTCTAATTCAATTAAATTCAATTCGGTTTATTTTCGTAAGTGTAGGCCATCGGCCCATAGTTACATTTGTATTACAATGGACGTGATGTACACAGCTGTTATTGTTGTGGCAATAATGTACTACGAAGTGACATCGCTTGATAGATATAGATAGCTAGACGTTCAATTAATTTACAATCAGTTGTAGACATAATGATATTAAATTTTTGTATGGTCGGATATTCATAAAATGTCTGTGGTAAGTGATCCATGCGTATCTTGTTATAACCGGAGCAAACTAACAAAAAATGAAACTCGTCCTCCACATACCCAGCATTACAAACACAACATAGTCTTCTGTTACGTGGGATATCAGCATATCTCCCAGTTTCAACACACAGCTGATGCGAAAAACATCTAAATCGAGCTAGCGCCACTCTCAATTTACTGACGGTCATACAGCTAAGATACAACTCTGTACCAAACGATACCTTGAATAGAGAATACGAGAAAGATTTACTACCCTTTACCAGAAGACTATGCAAATCCTGTTCATAACTACATTTCAGACGCGACATAAATTCTGTCAAAAACGAATGAGGATGACACTGGTTTTCCCATACAGAGCCAAAACCCAAACGGAACAATAAAAATTTACATTTTGATACCCAATTAATTTTACCATTACTTTCTGCCTGAAGCATCATATTATAACATTTCTTTGGAAAGCGACAATCGGACATACTAATAACCTTATCCAATAACCAATAACTCTTTTGTATGCATAAATATATAATGGATACCGCCCACATTCACCTCGAACCATGTTGTTGGGTGTTGACGATTTGACACCTAGAAAGCGCTTGCATGCCAATGT